AAACTGGAGACTGCGGTGAACCGCAACCTCCGGTATCCCGTACCCTGGAAAAGTCTGCCCACCCCTGCTTTAGCAAGTCCAGTTAAAACACGTTTTTTTTAAATTCTGGACTGCTTAATTCTGACATGTACAACTAATTGGTTGCTATCAGAATTCGAACACCCAATAATGAAAAAGCATTATCATTTAAATAGAAAATTTTAGTCATTTTTCTTATACGACAAAAAAAAACCTCTATTTATGACAGTAATTCTGAAATAATCAGTTTTTTTTTTTTTTTATCCAGACCTTGAAACGATAACAACAAAAAAACCTACAACTTACAAATTACCATTTTCTTAAGCCCAAAGGATGCAAGAGAAGAAAAAAAAATCATTCCATAACTTCAGCAATATTAATAAACTCTCTTTCTAACATAAGTTTAATTTTACATATTTCAATAAATCCCCTGAATTCTCAAACCTCAAACAAATATCACAAACTTAAAATACAGGCAAATTATACATCAGCCTTTTGCAAAACAATCTACACTTCAGAAAGCTTTAAGAATCAATGGAATAAAAATTCAACACGAATAATAACGTTATTAAAAGTTCACCTTGTTCACAGTTATCTTCATTTAAGTCCTTAAAACTGTGAATTATTTCACGGTGAATTTCTTGCTAATGAGAATAAGCAATTAAATGTCATTCTTATTTCATTTCTTTCATTTGACTTGTAAGGCTAATTACTTTCGATTATTTGCTTGTTTTTATTTCGGGAAGAAGAAAAAAACTGTTCCTTAACAGCGAAAAGTTGCATATTAAAAGGCAGCTTACGTTGCCACATATGTATACATTTCTTTAATGCTCATAAAAAATGAAATGGAAATATAAGATTAAAAATATTGTGATCTCTTCCTAAAATAGATTTAAAATTGTTTTAAAAAAACGGATAAAGTAAAAACTTCTTTAGGAGATTTCAGTTAAACTACATATGTCATTTAAAAATATACTGAAAACTACTATTTAAAAATATCTCCCAGAATATTCATCAAATTTCTTGTAAATGAGTAGTTTAATATAGTTCTACAGCAATAATTATTTACCCAAAAAGGTTTTGTGGTATAGCCACATCATTCTGACGCATGGATTTTGATCGGTTATTAAAAGGTAATGTTTGAATAATATTCCCTTTGTCATAAAGTGTGTGATTGCCTATTTGTGCCAAATTTAAAATTAACACAAATACCATTAACGACAGACATAATATTAAATCACGGTCACGTGGCGAGGACAAGACCTGTCAGGCAGGCACCCCACTTTACAAACTTCCAAGCCACGCTACAGTGAGATTTCAGTTGATTTACGTCGCATTCTGAAGCAACGCGAGGGTTATTGGAGATGTACAACGGTAATTTTAAACCACAGACAGTGATGAGGACGACATCTGAGCTCTGGCATTCAACTTTCTAAACTTCCACATTACGCCAACGTGAGGACTTTGAACCTCGACAGATTTTATGTGCATCAGGCCCTTTTTACGTCGCAGCTCAACTCCGGCCCCGAGCTCGCAGACATGACCCCTCGGTTACTGCGGTCGCACCCCTAAACGAGAACTTTTTAGTCCTGACAGATATGCATCAGTTTTCTACACGATAGGTCTTTAGAAACATCACAACAGACTACCGCGACTGCATTTGTGTCATAAATGAACAGGTGCATTAAAGTCTCCGACTACCCTAAAATTGTGAATTTTGCCAAAAATTAACAATTTTTTTTATGATTTTATTTTAAGGGGTCTCAGGGGTATTAACTTTGTCTAGAGGGCTGAAAATATAAACAATATTCAAATATATTTAACTCTTTGAAATTAAAGGTAAATAATTCGAATCTTTTACACATTATTTATAAAGGAATGAGGCTTTAGAAAAGTGTATAAAATGTTTAAAATATAATCATAATTTTAAAAATTATAAGCATATGAAAATAAGAAATATTTCTATAAGAAATATTTAAGTTTTACGTTGTGCATGCTATTTTCTGAAGTAGTAGCTTTAATTACTAGCAATAAGTTGCTTAATAAAGTTAAATGTATCCTTATTACACCGTAGTATTTTTAAATAAATAGAATAATAAATAACATTTTTTAAAAATAAAAAAATTATATTTTTTAAAAAAAATTTTAAAAATTTCAATATATTTCAAATATTTTGAAATACAAGAGATATATTATTCTTAAATTACTAGGGTCTAAAGAGTATGTGATACATTTTATAATTCTATAAAGTTTTATACATCAAAGGCTACTATTTTAGAAAATAGCGTGCGCAACGCAAAAATTACTTAATATTTATTACAAAATTATTTCTTATTTGCATATACTTATAATTTTTTAAATTATGATTCTATTTCAAACTTCTTGTACTTTTTTGAAACCGTAGTCCTTTATTAATAATGTGTAAAAGATTCGAATAATTTAGTTTAAATATAAAAGTATACCTGTTTGAAAATTGTTTATATTTTCACCCCTCGAGACAAAATTAACACCCCTGAGACCCTTTAAAAACCATCTTATTAGCTTTATAAAAATACTGTTTATTATTTTCCGTTCACTAGAACTAAAACTACAAGTGTTTTAGTAAAATCAGATGCCATTACTTTAAGGAAGATGTTATACTTTAAAACGCGTTTTACTCAAAGTGTGTGTTTTTTTAATGCTCAAAGGGCCAGCGATTGCTTAAAAAGTTATGAAAATTATTAACTGTGACAAAACTTTTGTGTGTATGTTCCGTATAATAGTAGAACCTTCAGATTTATCAATCACTGTTTTATTACAAAATTTACAGTTCCTTATGTTAATATAAATCACTGTTATATTTTAAGCAATTTCATATGACTAAAATAAAATACTCTAGTTTTTGTAAAAATTAAAATATCTTATCCTTTCAAAAATGAACAACACAGCAACACATCAGAATTGAAAAAGTTAAAAATTTGTTCATAAATTTTTGGTACAGAATGGAACCCGTTTATGTTATTTTTTAAATTTTCACCCACACACACATTTTAGTAATAATAATTTATTTTTATCTTCTTAATTTTGGCTTATTTTTCTTAAAATGTACTAAACAAACCTAAATACCAAAAAAAAAAAAATCCCCATCTCCATTTTTTTTAAAAAAGTTATCACGCTAGTAGTCGGATACCTTAAGTTAAATTTATTAACATAATATATTGCTAAGATTCACAAAATTATAAAAAATAATAACACCTATATTTTTAAAATTATACAAAATGAAAGAAAAAAGAAAAAAAAAGATTAAAAACAAACGTTAATAAGTTTATAATAAACTAATAAAATATGCATACAAACGGTGATTTAAACAATAATGTTTGATTAGGTTTTATTAAGAATCTATGGCCATGCGTAAAAAAAGTCCCCCCCCCCCATAACGTTTTCATATATAACCAGTGAGAATCTTAAGGAACCAAAGCATAAACAAAGCAAAACTATGTTTGAGAATAATAACACTAAGGAAATGTATAATATCACTTTATCTCGAGACTAAAAATTCCAAAATGCTTCTTAAAAGAACTAACAGCTTCACAATTACCATCAGCAAAAAAAATTAACTATCTATTCATCTAAAGAGAGAGAGAAATCCAAAGCTCTTTGTCGTTCGAAAAACATCAAAAGAATGCAAAATTACACTCTTGTAATAATCATACAATGCAAACAGATTTTATTATTTTAACCATTAATACTAACCCAGATATCCTGCTCATATTTTTGACTGTCCAGCTATTCTAGCTGCTCTATAAGAAACAGGGGTCCAGTTTTCGTCAACAAACCTCTATGAAGATAATATTGAACAGATTGCCTGAACAGTTAACTGAACCCATGGCTGATTTGGTCTCGTCATGGGCACATCATCAACCAAGATATCTGGGCATCGAGCTAGCAGTCGGCGATATTTTTATTCGAGAATATTCGATCTTCTTTCCACTTAAGACCTGTCTTGTAGATGGATTTGGTGCACATTTAAATTTATCGGAGCTCGAAGTCTTCACATAGGCACCTGTCTCATGGATATGGAGAATAGGGCTACAGTTAAGCTACCGTTCTCATCATCTGACCGTGGTTTAAAATTACGAGAGAGACTAGGAACCTGAAAGGGGCATTTGCACTCTAAGCTCAACTTGACAAGCGAGGATCAATCGAGTAATACAAAAATTCATTGCATTAACTCCATTCCTCCAGTCGGCTCGGTATCTTTCAGATAGCGTACCCACCTCGTATGCCCAAGGTTGTGGGTTCGATCCCGGCTGGGGTCTATAGATTTCCTGGTTGCGAAAGTCGTAGGCAAGCATGTCATATTATTATGTGGCTTGTAAAAGATCCCTTGAGCATCAATTTGGCTCACGGCAAAATTAAATCATGGAAATATTTAACATCCGACGAGAGCTTGAATTGAATAAATTCAAGCGTCAAAACTTGGTAGCGGGAGCCACCACGAGATGGTGCCACCAATAAAATGGCACTCACATTTAAGACTTGTCGTGTCTGCAAAGGCTAAACAGCAAAAAAGCAGCACATTTGAAAGAAAGAAACTTCATTCCTTCAACCTCACACACATCAGCAATGTTAATGTATTAAAAATTTGTGTCTACTTGGAGAACTCAAAGTGCATAAAAAATGGAATTCCTCGGAAAGAAGTTGAAACAAGTAATATAAAAAAAATGAAGTCAATTCCTACTTAAATCAACAAAGAAACATTTTATTTTAGTAATTTTTTATTAAATAATTACAACTAATATATAAATACGTATATACATTTGACAGAATCACAGTATCAAATGGCAAAATAGAAAGCGATTTTCCTTGCAATTTTCCATTTTCCTTTCTATATATGGTGATGGACTATTATTTTTGTTTGTTACAATTTTTATTCATTCATTAAATTTAATTATTCCAATAAAATAGTATAGTTAAAAAAATCACATTCTCAGAAATTAGGCCATCCCAGGTTGGATTCGAACTTACAGCTTTGGATTAGAAGTCCAACGTGCTATCCATTACACTACAGGGACACAACGCCAGCAATTTTCCTGTTTTATATATGGTGTTGGACTATTAATTTTTTATTACTATTTATTCATTAATTAAATTAATGAATTAATATTTGAAAAAACTAAAACAAATTTAGCGCACATTTCTTTTCAAAAAATATTTTGAAAATTTTTGAATAATGAAATTATGTTAAATACGTGTAGGCGAAAATATAGAAGTTCAAAAAAATATAGCATATTAAAGTAAATAAATACTTATTAGTAATAAGATTAATCAACATGTCGTAATTTATAACATAACGAAGCTTCTTAAAATTGACAGTTGAGAACTGCAAGCCGAATTTTCATGTTTTATCTTTATCTTTTCACATGTTTAACTTATTTCATTTCATTTTACATTAGAATCATACGTTTCCTGCAATTTTAATTTCATCTCTCTACATTGCTTTACATTATTTTATAACCCTTGTAATACTTGAGATTTTGGGTAATTTCCCACAAAATTTACCTTTAAATTTTTGATTTTAACATCAATTTTGGAATATATAATCTAATTATTTTAGAAAGCAAAAAAAAGAGAGAGAGAGAGAGACCATACATTAATCAAATTTTTTGTTTGAATATTTTCTCTATTTTTTTAAAAGCAGCGTTTAAGAAAAACAAAGTGATGAATTTCTCATCACCGGGTAAAGTTTTATGACGTGCAGACCCAGTCACTGTAGATTAATGAGAGCAAATCTGTCCCATCTGCAGTCAGAAACAAATGATATGGGGCCAAATATTAGGGCGGGATATGACGACAGAAAAGGACTAGAGCATGAGAAAAGATCTTACGCATGATTATACAGCGATGGCATTATTCCCAAGTAATTAGAAATTAAATTAAGAAACCACTATGCAACTATTACAACAAAAATCTTTTGTTCAAATTAAAATCCACATCTAAAATTTAAAAAAATAAACATCTTTGCAAAAAGCATTAGGAAAAATTAAATTAATGATTTAAAAAAATTTTAGTGTGGCCTAAGATATATACTATAATTTTTCCTTCAAATATTTATAAGAGCTCTTAAGATTTCAATATACCCACACTTCTAATTTAAAAATATTATGTCAAATTGACTGAGTTTCTCACGACATATTTTAAATTTAAATTACTGCATTTGATTACATTAAGGTCACAGTAGCTGAGTGGTGATGGTCCCGAACTCGTGGCCAACATTTGCCGAGTAGCGGGTTCGAACCCTAAAGCTTATGAGGACCCACGGTGAGTGAGTGAGTGAATATTAAAGTCGCACTGTTCAGCTACACGAGGGTTTTGGCGACGGACCACGTAATTTTGAACCATGGTCAGGTGACGAGGACGACGCCTGAGCTGCCCCCCCCCTAACTACCACACCAACGGGAGGACGTTTGAGCTCTCAACATATTTAACGTGCATCGTTCCCCTACACGGGAGGACCCGCAGTGTAGAATGGCTGATGCCCATGAAATCTGTCGAAGCTCTAAATCTTCGTTGCCGTGATATGGAAGTTTGGAGAGGAGCTGTCAGAGCTTCTCGTCACTCGACCGTGGTTCAGAATTGCGAAGTCCTTCTTAATAGTCCACGTGTTGTCTCAGAGTATGACGGAAATAAAAAATCAATCATTACTTTAAAGTGCATTTGAAAAAGTTTTAAGCTTCTATGCTACTTTTTCATCCAGATTTTTGAAAACAATTGTAATATTTTTAATGTGAGTTTCAACTCCAATTACGACTTACAATGTTAAAAAAAAAGAAATGAAAAAAAAAATGAGAAAAAAAAAGTCCATTCTACAGGATGTAATTTATTCATTATATCAATATAAATTCATCGGTTTGTTTGTTTTTTTTCACTAAAAAAAAATCTTTATGTTGTAGACCCAGAAAATTTTTTAATATAAAATACCCAAGATTACTAAACAAAATTCCCCTCAAAAATATTAGATCATTTCACAATTCTATTAAATTAAAATGGGGGGACGGTAATTATATTAAAACTTTATAATCACGAATAAGTTCATCCACAACACATCGCGAAAGTACTCATATGCACTGTTATATTCTAAAGATACGTCCAAGATTTGATCAAATGAAATAAAGCACGAAAGTAAGTAATATAAGCGTATCAGATGCGTCACATGGAAGAATTGTCATTATATGAAAATCTAGCAGATGGTGCCATGGATGAAGAATTACAAGCGAAGCGCAACCACTGGACTAGAAGACCGAACTCTATTTTCTTACATTTTTCAAAAGCCTTTTATTTCCTGTCCTCATTCTGGTTAGTGATGTCAGTCGAACGTTAAAAAACAGAGGAACAGTCTTTTGGGCTATTATTTCTACAATCCACCGTTTTTTGCACTGTTTGCTTTAGATTTGTGAATAGGAGTTCCTATTAATTTTTTTTTCTTTTAAAAATGCAACGTGCATTCAACACAATACTTTTTTTGGATTTTCACCATCTTAAAAATATTTAGATCCAGTTTTCTATTGTAGTTGTCCGGTTCGATGAAATTTTTATGAGATGTATAGCTGACATATCTATTCTGGTAGCTGTATATTTTGAAGAATATTAATCTTAATGATAAAAACAGAATTCTGTCAACAGAAAGATTATCGCTATCTTTTGCCAAATTTCATACACGAAAAAATTACTCATAAGAATAAAAAATTAAGCATTTAATGAGAAAAGAAGAGTTATGTAATATACTCACTTGGAAAATTTTTAAGTGATTTTTGAATAAAATTTGTTTTTATAAATCTATAATTAATAGAATTCTTTCGCGAAAAATTTAATAACTAAAAATTGAACCAAAGAAGTTTTCAAATATTTTCTACACACGATAAACCACGAAGTAAACATTATTAACTGATTCTGTTCAGATGCAATAAATCAAGTTTCAAAAATTGAAAAGTGAGTGAGAATTATATTTACGTCGCACTATAAAGCTGCACGAGGGCTGTTGGCGACAGACCTCAGAATTCTGAATCATGGTCAAAAAACGAGGACGACACCGGAGGTAGCACCCCCTCTCCTAACTTCCACACCACATCAAAGAGAGGACGTTTGAACCTCGACATGTTTAAAGTGTATCGGCGATACTAGGCTCGAACTCATGACATGCCAGCCACGAGTCCGTGACCTTGACCACTAGACCACTACGGCCAATCAAAAATACATCAGTTTTTAAATTAGAAAATACTTATTTTTTTTTTAATGTTATTCACTTTACCCGTAATATGATAGAGAGAACCATGAACAGGAATCTGAAATAAATTTTATGTCATGCAAATGTTTTTTCGATGCAACAAAAAGAATAATTATCAAAACAATGGAAGGGCAAAATAATGCCAAATCATGCTGTTGTAATCATTTGGTGCTCTTTTCTCCTCAAATATATTAAAAAGAAAGGCAACTGATTGAACATTTCGAGATCATTGGATAATTGTTTTAAAATACTAATATCATATGATCTTTGAATAATTGTCTTTTTTTAATAAGAGGAAATAAAGAAAGCATTGATATAAGAATATATTAAAATACATCATTTTATCGGTTAAAAATAATTTTTTTACAAAGGTTTCAGTTCATTAAAAGCTCCGAGATAATTCTATTTTAAAAATCAAGAGAGTGGGGTTATTTTAAAATCAGGTGTGGCGTTACAAATTATTACAATAAGCCATAATATATTTTAAGTAACTAATTTCGATTTCTTTGATGAGGACCTTTTCTTAAATTTTTTAACATGGTTAAAAATCAAAATAAATAAATCCAAATAATATATAAGATAGAATATAATATTACATTAATTTCTAAATTGTAGTCATTTTAATATTATTTAAACTTACAATTTGTCTAGTACATTTCCAAAAATAAACACGATCTTAAAAAGATGATAAAAGTAGTTATTCATTATGAGAGAAAAAGAAAGACTAGGACCATTTCTTGTATGTTAATATAATACAAGATTAAAATTATTATTTAAATCATTAAATATATATGTGTATATTTAATTTAAAGCAAAATTTAAGCCTTAAAAATTGTAAAAAAATTGTTGTAAAAACTGTAAAAAGTAATTGTCAATTATTTTTTACAATTGATTTATTTGATTATGTAGTTACACTAAATATATTAAGTTTATATAAGACTCTTATATGGCGTAAAAATAGTGATTATAAACAGATACTTCAAAAAATGTCTAACTGAAGTGAAATAAAGAGAAAGAAAATTAACAGGCTTCGAAAAGTAATTTTTTTCGTTCCGCCAAGGTTTTCGGTTCAGCTCCGAATAAATATAGTTTAATTTTATATATATTCTTATCTGTACTAAAAATATAATGCCATAATAAACCCAAAAAAATGTAATTCTATCAAAATTTAGAGAGAAACAGAAGAGTTTATTCTTTTTTTTTTTTTTCCTTTTAACTGGTACACTATGTGAATTGATACAATTAACCAGCATGTACGATACGAGTGGTGAGCAGAGAACGACGAGCATTGGCTTTGTTATCCATCAACAAAATGGCATTTGACAACTAAGCTCATGATTCTAGTTTGTCTATGTAAACAATCTATATAAAAAATCGGGGATGATCACATGCTGAGATACGAAAAATATAACTCAGACTGATATTTTTCTTAAAAAATCAACTGAATTCATTTGCCTTCTACAAGTAGTTTCATGCGAAACTGAAATAAAAAAGTACTAGTGAACATCAAATTAGGAAATCTAGAGGCAATATATATGTAATGATAATAATTATATAGAGTTGACGTTCAATTAGAAAATACTGTAAGATGGTTACAGTAACAAAATAACTGAAGTTATATCGAACCGAAATAACCTGATTTTTTTTCGGTTCAGTTCCGGTACGAAGCCCTGGAAATTAAGGTCAATGTTTGATATTTTAAAAAAGGAAAGCAAAAATTTTAATGTTATTGAAATTTTTCATAACACAGGACACATCAACTCATACAAAATCTGTTCAATCTTTGATACG